CGGTAATTTTAGTTTATGTATGGCTTTCACGCTTGGTTTGTATAACACCAAGACAAAACCAGTTTGACTCAAGGTGTTCAATCAGCCTTGAAGAAATAGCCAAACACATAGAAAGCCTTTTTACTATCTGTTTTCAGAGGTGTCCAACTTTCTGTCTTTGCGAGGAGAGCATTCGATATGTCAGTTTCATTATCAAAACTTCCCACTTTTGAACCGTTGCCTAAATATCGACACAAGCTGGTTCTCCAGTATAATCTCTGCTCATCATGGTTCATCGCTGCTGAATCTGATCTTTCCTTTTGTGTCGTTCTTTGTTCATTGATGTTTCAGCATGATCTCTTTTAATCACAGGTTTCAATGCCGTTTTGAAGAGTTTACAAGCAGCTCTCATGCTAAATTCACTTTACTGAATAATTATAAGCAATACTCCTAGAAAAAGTAATTTGTACCACTTCTGATTTAAAAATAACATAATTGTGTTGTTCAAGATTTCTAGGAAGTCATACTGCCTTAGCACTTAAATTCAAATTTGGCCTCTGGAATCTAAAAATGAATTCCTGAATTATACATTTTCAAAAATGCAGTTGCTGGACAAAGGAGACCCTATGTAAGAGGTAGCGACTGAAAACACACACCTGCTTGACTCCTCTTCCTCACTACCATCACCATAAGATCTGACAGATAGCCTTCATATCTGATCTACTTTCCTTTATACAGTATGTTCTCACACCTACCAACACATGGATGGATATAAGCATTGCAGGCGAACGTTCCAGCTTTCCGACCCATAAATTGAAAAATCAGAATGCAGGTCTCCGTTGAGAATATTGTTTGAAAGCTTTCAGTCCTCAGAACCTTGGAGATAAATGCTGTATCAGAATTGTCATAATTATTTGACAGCCTGAATTACAGACTGTTCAGTACTGACATGTGTTACTTGAAGATCCTTACAGTTTCTGTACAAGACAGAAGTGTTTCTGTGCAGAGGCAGGCAGACAGGCATCTACAGACAGGCACATGTGTAGACAGATCTACAGATAGGCAGAGTTGCAGACAGACAGGTACTGTAGAGCTGCAGGCAGATGTGTCAACAGATCTACAGACAGGTAGACAGACGTGTAGACAGATCAGCAAGCAGGCAGCAGCAGACAGACAGGTAGATAGATCTACAGACAGACAGGACTGCAGACAGGTTGACAGACCCACAGACAGAGAGCAGCAGGCAGACAGATTTTCAGACTGACAGACAGAACTGCAGGTAGAGAGGTAGGCGGTTCAACAGACAGGTAAACAGACAGAACTGCAGGTAGAGAGATCTACAGACAGGCAGATATATAGACAGATCTACAGATATGCAGACAGATGTGTACACAGATCTACAGACAGACAGACAGAAATGCAGGCAGACAGATAGGTCAGTGGATCTACATACAGGTAGACATCTACAGACAGGCAGACAGACAGGTAAACAGATCTACAGACTTGCAGACAGACAAAACTGCAGGCAGACAGAGAGATAAACAGATCTACAGACAGATAGACCTGTAGGCAGATCTACAGACAGGTAGACAGATGAACACTGACATTATAATACATAAGGCCGCTTTTCGTATGGTGGATCAGTGGGCGGCACTGTGGCCTAACCTCTCCAGGGTTGGGGGCTTGAATGCTGCACCTGCTCTGTGTACAGTATGTGGATTATGTGCATGTTCTCCCCATGTTATGCATGTTTCTCCTGCTTTTTGCAGTGGTGGAATATCTGCATGCATACAGATCTCATTAACTGACATGGTAGCTGTATAAAGTGATTGGACATAAAATGGATGAACCTTAACTAACAGGCAGACGGGGTTGGCAGGGAAACGCAGTCTGCTGGTGTAGCTATTGAATAATCCACATGGCGTAGGGCTAACGGGCGTCTGACTCACAGCTCCAGGCCGGGGTTCAGCTACGATGCCTCTGGACAGCAGATCCAGGCTTCTGTAACATACCCTTGACTTTCTCTCTCATCAACACTGCCATGTTTCCTCTGTCTGCTAAATTCAGCGTAAAAACAGGAAACTCAGTGGACTCCTGTCAAGCTGCATTTTTTAAAATGAATTCTACTTCTGAACTTTTGATTCTGTTTCCTGATGAGAAGCCGGTAATTATGTTGTTGCTTTTCGGTACAGTTCAGGGATACCTTTAAAGCTGAAAGAGTAAATCTGCCCAAAAACATCCTGATACACCACTGCCCTTCCATCACCAAGCGCTGGGATGATTTACCCCCCCCCCCGAAGACCTTCTGCCTGTCAGTCACGCTAACCCACTGCCAGCACCGTGGTTCTCGCTCACTAACATGGTGTCGGCCCGCTCACGCTGAAAAACAGCGCCAGCGGAACCGCTTTGACAAGTACCGTGTCTGGGACACCGCTGCTCAGCTGTCTTGTTTTTTTGTGTTTTGAAAACCTGGCCCCAGCGTAAAACACACCTTCTAGCCTTCAGTCAGCCCAGTGCTGTCAGCGCAGTGCACTTTTCCTCACGCTTCCAGAACAGAACTTACAACAAGGCAGAGGCACAGAATGCAGTGCACACACTGCGAGGCGAACAAACGGAGCCCAAAGGCAAAACTCTGTGACCTGCTCATATTCAACAGTAACAATGGTCTTTTTTTGAAGGTTTGACTCAATATGGTTCAAATTTCATTGTCAATTTTCAGTGGCAATTCTAAAAATCCACTAAATGTGGTTAAGCGATAGTTAGTGCGATGTATCCTTTGTGATCACAGCTGGTGGGTTTGAGTTTCATCACCGGACTTACATCAGCGAATGGTTTATTTGGGCAGATTTCTGCAGATACAAGTTTTTGTCAATCATTGTCAGTCCTGGAAAGTGCGATGCATCCAGCCCAACCTCAGACACATTTAGGACACTAAAAGGTTGACCCTTTTAGCTTTGTCACTGCTGGAAACATACCGTCACAGGAGTCATGTGGACACTCACGTCACTACAAAAGGGAGGTAAATTCTTTGCACTCACTGACTACAATAATCTAAAACGGCAACTTTACCCGCCAGAAAAATGCGATGACCTGTAGGTGTTTCAGAAGAATTAAACACATCATATATTTTTATTCCCTGGGTGATAGTTGGGTTGTCTCTTTTTCTCATCCCTTGCTTCCACAGAAGGACATAACGACAGAGAGAGAGAGAGATATATGGGCTGGAGACAACTCCTTAAATTGCTCTTGAGAAATAGCACAGTGGTCAGCATAGCCATGCCTTGTAGCAAGTGCCCCACAGGCCAGTGAGGATGTAAGAGAGTGTAGAAAAACTATTCCCCGGTGCCTTCTCAATCCTCCGTGCCGCAGCTTTGAGAAGAGGGTTTACACGCTGTTAGCTGCTGTGATGTGTTTGTGGGGAAAGCTGCCCAGGTGAGACAGGAGTGGACGGTGGGAGCCGTCTGCCGGTGACTAACAAGGCCTGGGATTGGCCTGTCAGCGAGAGCAGAGCTAATCAGGAAGGGCGATAGACAGGATCCCGGCAGGAGAATGAATCACTGCGGGTGACTGACCACCCCATGGTAGGAATGGCAGGTCGGGACTCTCTGTCAGCCAATGGAGTCACACCTGTGTGTTTACAGCCTAAAGGTGCCACATGGCAGGTACCTATGCCCCCCACCCCCAGAAGCTCAGTATGATACATTTCTATGTATCTCCAGCCCCCTGTTTGCACATTGACGTCCTTATGTGTGCTGTGATGTCACCTGAACAGAATGTGTCACAATCAGAACAGTGGCACTACTTAACGCAGTTATTTCATAAAATGAGGGAGCATCTTCTTATAAATGCAACACAAATCAATAAAAATTGCTGCGTTGCACAAATGATAAATCTGTTTGTCATCGAGCCACAAAATTAGGACATTAATGATGAATTCCATTCTGACGTGCTTTCCTTCCTGTTTCCTTCAACACAAATAAGGCCGCACGGTGAAGACGATAGCAATGTGAGTGCAGGTCAGTGGGGGAGGGGCATAGTACAATGTCAGTACGTCCTAAATGTCTTAATGGTTTTCTTGCATGAAGGTCTAAAAGCTCACCCTTCATCTCCACCTGAACAATAGGAGCTGGAGTACAGCAATAACATTTACACAGAACTACTCTGCTGTCAATGAAAGACTCTCAAGACAGATTGAGGAGAAAATAATTAGTCTCTCAAAATATGGTACAGGTTCAAATCCAAGTACATATAGACACAACACATTCTTACATGCGCAAGTAGATATTAAAACTGTTTTCATTCTTTTAATTAATGCAGCACTGTTCATGGAGGAGACTGCTAAGCTAAACCCAATACAGCCATCAGCACGAGAGTACTGAAAGAACAGAGCACAGAAATTCACTCAAAGTGGAGTCTGACTGGACCACCCAGAAGAACACTGATGCCCAGGAGCATCACAGACACGAGCTGAAGCCAAAGGATACTGAGCCAAATGGCAATTTCAACAGCAGGCAGTAAAAGCTCCAGCTAACCGACATGAGGAGACATGCTGGATTACCTCCTATATTCTCTCCAGCAAGCAGCCAGCTGCATAACAGAAACATTAAGGGGATTTGCAAAGAAGTACAATAATTTCACAGTTGGGTATAAAATAGTTCAAAATGCTTATATCGGGACCGTAAACATTCACATACTATGTGTAATTGTGATGTTTGAATATGTTTGCGTATATGAGGCGGAATTTTGCAACTATATAGATGTAATTTGTACTGGGAATTATGGGTTTCCCACAGAACATATAGTGTCTGCTGTGGAAATGTTCTCCAACTGCTCTGAATGAAATAAGCCTTCAAAACAAACTTTGCTTACCCAACCAAAGTTTCCTGAAATTAATTCTATGAAACAAGCAAGGTGGTCATGTTTTGTGTGATTATAGATGCGAAACAATAATAATGATGCGTTACAGTAAGCTTACAAGCTTTAGCCGTAGATGAAGGTGTCTTTGCATGTCAACGCAAGGACAGTTTGCTTCTCGGTTATCCATGCGGACATTACAAGGGGTCTCAGCATGGCTTTCGCTGGCGGCTAATGTTTTTCTTTAGATTATTTTCAAACAGGACGGGTGTGTCACATACCACCCTGTTAAATCCTGATTGGGTGCGGGAAATCCTTAACTTATTTTACCATTAAAAATAAACTGCATTAGACTGAGGAAAAAGCCGAGATCTCCGGGGAAAAGTCAAACTGCGCAGTTGTCTCTGCAGCCGAAGCGCCTCGTTAGCGACACCGGTAGGACTGAGATACTCTCCCGACTCTCGGCTGCCTGTACCTCCCCCGCCAGGAGGGCCCCCGTCACAAGACCCGGTCACTGGGCCGGATCACATGACAGCCCGGATCCTGACTCGCTTCCCAGCCTGCCTTTTCGCAGGCTTGTTATTGCTGGAGTAAGATGGCGGCGGAGAGGGATCCTCCACCGGCGGGGAGCGTAGGGCATGCCGACCTTAGGGAGGTGGAGGACGGCGAGGACCTCTTTGTCAGCACGGCATCGACGCTGGAGGTAAGGCGGCCGCTCGGCGGACGGGACGGCCCGGGAGTCTGATCGCACCGATCATCCCGTGCGGCCGCTGATGCTCATTGTCCGCCTGCAGGCACTGGTGTCGCCGACGCCGACTGGCGACAGCTGTTCGGGCGGCTCGTCGTGCTCCACGCCCGGGTATCACGACTCTAGCTCCGTCTGCGGTCGCCGCCGCCCCCCCCCCTCTCTGACCGCTCCGCCAGCCGGCCGCGGGGAAGGGGCGCATGTTTACGGCTGATATTTGTGCATTTGGGTCTCCTGGGGAGGGGCGTGTGCGGACCGTGAATGTGGGACTAAAATGCATGACCTGCATGCGGGGTTAGGGTGCTGGAGGATAGAGCGGGGTTTGATCCTCTTTGGGGTGTCTGGACTCCGGCTGGTGGGTTCTGTACCTTTAACGGGGCTCCAGGGTTTGCTGGAATTACGTCAGATAAACAGGTTCCTCCATCTCCGGCGCCTGTTCACTGTGGTCCCAGGCCAGGGTTGCCAACTTTGCTAGCTGGAGAGAGATTTTCAATTCGAGACAATTCTGCACACACATGCACACTCTTTTACATGTATGTGACAGTTTTATTGTCTTATAAATGGTCTGCAGGGTTTGCAAACTGCCCCAGGTTGTAGCTCATTTTAGGTTTATGATGGAATAATATAGATTTTCTGTAAGATTTCTTGCATGAGGGCATGTAATGCCAGATTTGTGAGATGTGGCAACCCTGCCAGGCTGTCTGATGGAGGGATGCCCTCATTCTCAAAACTATTCATGTCCGGTTCTGTGCCAGTGTCCAAGTCGAAAGGGAGAGCCGTACCTGCCGTGAGAGAGGGGCTTGGCATCTCCGAGTCTGCTGCCATATGTTTGCCATATATTTGTGAGGATAGCTGGATTGTCCTCCGCTTTGCATGCATTTAAAAGGTTTTCAGGATTATACTCTTTCTGTTTAAATGGGAATTCTTGGAAATGTGCTCAGACAGTTTTTCCTTCATTAATTCTTTCACTAGAGATGTAGAAGACAGTAAAATGCATTTCAGAACATGTAATCCGGAGTCCTCCGACAGCGAGGAGGCTCATCTAGCCTTTGGGTTTTCTGAGCCCTTGGTTATAATGTCAGACTGGTTTAAACTCCTACACTGAAGCAGAATTATTAACTCCAGATTGATCTATTATGGTGGCACTTCAGCTTCATCGCCGCTGTTGTTTGACCGGTTAGACTGCACAGACCTTCAGCTGCTGAAATGCGGATAATTTTGAACTAGCAGCCTAACTTGTTTTAGCTCGGGCCTGTGCTGACCTGGGGTCAGTCTAGCTGCCTTGGGGCGTAAACGCCGTAATGTTTCCGCTTGGAGCCTGCTGAGGGTTCTTTAAAGAGTCGGCAAGTTTGGATTTCTCCTTACGGAGGAGCTTCAGTCTTCTTCTGGCTTAACGCTGCTCTTTGAGTAGATAAGTTTGGATGGTGGCTGCAGTTTCACCTTCTGGAGCGTCGTCAGAAGAGTATTGTTAATTTGTTGTGTTCCCTGTTTGGAGACTGGCTATGTTTATCTCTGTTTATCAATAAACACCTTGACAAAGAACTTCCTGTTCACCTCCAGTTGATCTGGTCAGATCTGTGTAATTCTCACCTTAGGGTCAATAACACAGCCACCTCCCTGAGAGCTAATCCTGTGAGTGCATCTTAAAGTATCCGTGCTTCTTCTGCTCCCTTCCTGGTTCACTGGTCATGCTCTTCCCTTGTGAGATCTTTACAGCTGGGTGTATATTCTCTGAAAGCCTGAGTCATATGACCTGGACTGGGTCTGTACATTAACTACCCTGCTCTTCTAGCTTACTAACTACAAGCTGAAGTGAGGGAAAAAAAACCTGGTGAAGTATTAATCTGTGCAACGATTTTGCGCTTTTTAAACATTATGTTCCCTTGTGCAGCTGATATTATTTTTAAAATGGTGAAACGACTGTGTCCACGAAGGGAAGATCATTTGTAACATCTGTTAATAGGAGCCCATGTCTTTGTGACCTTTCTAGCTCTGATGTGACCTCAGCTGGTAGCCTTTAAATTCAATTTGTGTGCTGGTCTTCATCAAGCCGCAGCTGCTACCGTATTTCACGCTGAAACCCAGGACCGACGCGTCGAGTAAGTGTCTGGTATCTACTCGCAACCAGAGTCCAGAGGCTACGAACCATCAGCTGAATGCAGAATGACTGTGTGGTTACGGGGCGGAGCTCTCCAAGTCGTCTTTCCTTTCGGATGTCGAATATTCTGTTTAAGAATGTGCTGAATGGTGACATTTCTTGGCCCTCCCCTCCCCTTCCTCTGGTAAAATGTTTTCATCAGCAATCCTGCATCCCTTCCTTTTAGTCATTTTTTTTAATGGTACAGGAGAAGATAGTCATTTGTGCCGGGGGGCCTGAAGCCACAGTGGGCCAGCATGTGGAAGAGCTGCTGGACCTCTCTGTGTTTTTGGCCCGAGTTTAGGCTCCTCAGTGGTGGCACTCGGTCCTGGTGTCCTGGTGTTTTCCCCATGGTCCTCCTGAACAAGCAGTTTTCTGCTGTATTTTTCAGCCTGGTTTCCTGTAGTAAAATATCCTGAGTGAAAATAATTTCAAATTGTGGAGTGTAAGGTTGTGAATGGGTTGGGATTTGGATAATATGTCTGCTAAAGAAATGACAGGACTGCTGTTTCTGGGATAAATTCATAGTGTTCTTGGCTGAAGTTTGATCCAGATGAGGATTTTTCGGATGAGGTTCAGACATTCATGCACAAACCCATGGTGATCGCTGTTTGAAGGTCCTCAAACCTTCCCTGATAATCCCACAATCACCCTTCATTTCTTTGGGCTGGGACACCAACCCTGACCTCTATCTGCATGTTTGGATCCTTTTTTGTTTCCTGGTGCCAGTCGTGTTATAGATAGTAGTAACATTTTCACTACATCTTCTGAATACTTACCTTCAAATATAATTATTTTCATACACAATCACTATTTTTTGACCTTAACTGTTGTGTGTCAGTATGTAAAGTGGAAGATGAGGGATCAGGAATGTCTGAACATATGTGTCCATCTGCAGTCCGCTTCCATTTTGAAATTGCAGACATGGCTTTATAACTCTGACGGATCGGGTTTGGTGCCTCTCTGAGTTGTAGTTCAGGAGACTCCGTGCTTGAAGCTTAAAGGGACGTTGTGGCTGGTAAATATTAGCTGCCTCCTCATGTGTTGCCATCTGTCATGCATTGTGGTGAACATCAAAAGCTCCCTGTTATGCTGTTAAGAATATGGGGATTGTTCACAGTTATGGTGTCTAGAATTTGGGGATTGTAACATGACTGAAATTAAAGTGGTAACATTGACAAAAACTGGAACTCCATTGCGTCTCTCTGTCTGTTCGCAGTCCAGCCCCTCTTCTCCTGAACCGGCTAGCCTCCCTGTCGAAGATGTTGGCCCAAGCTCCAACGGACCCAAACCTGCGGAGATTCTTCTCGACGATGACCAAGAGGACCTCTTTGCTGGTAATCATGACACCGTCCTCTCGTGGTCTGCTTGACCCTCACTTCAGGTACCCCTGAGGCTCTTTAAGGATTCCCAGTCTACTCACATGACTACTCATCCCCCTTCAAGCACAACTTGGTTATTCATATGCGGATGACACCAGTGTCCTAACCCTAACCCTAACCCTAACCCTAACCCTAGTCCACAACTATGATGACGGCAGCTAGTCAATGACCTGACACTCTGTGGGGATGAGAACAACCTTGTCTTCAGGTTCAGTAAGATGAAGGAACTAAACCTGCAGTTCAGGAACTGAGCACCATTGCATCACAATCACAACAAAAGTGCTGAGATGAAACCATATCACTCCTACATGTTCCCGGGCTTACGCATTTCAGACCACATCACCTGGCCAACAAACACCACAGCCATGATCATAAAAGCACAACGACCCCTGTACTTCATCGAATATTCTAGCCTACGGATGGCGTCATAACCAGGGGCATCACTGTATGATTAGGGAACCCTCAAAGTTGGAAAAAACCTCTACGGAGAATCGCGAAATTGGCAGAACAGATTACTGGTGCACATGGAGTGACATGGGAATATGATCTACGTGTCGCAGACCTGTAAGCCTCGCTGCCCACAGGAGCCGGGTCATCAACATGCGCTAAGAGCGAAGCTGGGGTGACACATGCTAAGCCAATAGCCCTCATAGCCATACCACTGTGTATAACGTACTTTAGGTAATCACACACTTCAAGTCAAGTAAAGACGTTCGCGTTTGTGTTGTGTGTCCTGTATGTAATGAGCTGGCTGGGTATTTCCCCTCTACCAAGGTCGAATAAAATATCTAGCTTTAGTATTGGAACTATGTCAAATATTTCTGCGTATTTGGTATGTGACCAAGAGGTTGCAGGTTGACGCGTGTGGGTGTTTGTTGTTTTTGTTGCCTGATATGCTTCAATAATATGGGCGGTGTGTGCAAGATGGGTCAAAAATACAAGTCGGGTGGTAAACTGGTAGAAAATAGTGCTGTGTATTGGCTCTGTTGCATGGGGTGTCTGTCACTGAGTGCGCTGTTGGCCCCGCCCACAGAGGCCACAGAGGAAGTGTCCCTGGACAGTCCGGAGAGGGAGCCCATCCTTTCTGATGGCCCATCTCCCGCCATCACTCCTGTGACCCCGACAGCTCTGATCGCACCTCGGGCCGAGCCCAATGTCATCATGGTCTCTGGCATGTTCGAGCAATCCCTCGATGAGGTATGTGGCCCCCACCCCAATACTAAAATAGCCTAGGAATGACACCTCAGTAGTGTGCATACAACAGGAGTGATCTTAATCTGTTTCTAAGGAATTTCCCCATTGTGGGATTAATAAAATCAATCTAATCTAATAAGTTTTTGTTGCCCAGGACATTAAACACCCATTGCCCGTTTTCATAATTGCTCTCCATTAATAGCACATTATATAGTGCATCTGCCATTTTGTAGTGCTGTTCGAATTCTCAAAGGCAAATCTGTCTTCTATATTGGACTGTATAATAACCACAGAGCACTTTAAGTAGTGGTGTACAGACTGTGTACGTTTATACCATAACACAATGTGAAGCTGACGTCTGTTGTCAGCCGACTTCTGAGAATACAAAAGATTCTCTAAGAGGGCAATTTTTATTCAAATGTGCTCACATTTTTTTTTTTTTTCAGTTTTGAAAAGTATCTTTTTAACTCTGGAATTCTCAGCATTTAAATAATCTAAGAATTAAATTATTTATAAATCATAAAAACCCATATATCTTTTATCTCCTTTATTCCATCTGTTTTTTTGCTATTTGCAAATATCCAGTTGCTAGGATACCAACATCTTGCAATGTGGTGACTGAAACTGTTGTTTTTGTTTCATTTACTAATTAACTGTAGTAGGAATAGTGAACAAAATTGAACCATCCTGAACAGCCATATCGCCTGTTTCGTTTTGCTATAATTTGTAATTCAACTCAAAAACTGATTTCCTAAAATGCAAAACCATAAATTTTTTCAGCTACCATTTAAAACATTCATTACATCTAAAAGAGTGTAATTGTTTAAAACCAGGCACTCGAATGATAAAATTACATACAAAATGTCTGAAAGGATGATATGCGCAGATATGTTAAACACTGCGCGTCAATTGACTCTTGTTATGAAAACAATAAATTTTGCAGCGTTTTTCAGAATCAAGCAAGCATCCCAAAGCTTTCTGTGGGTATGGGTGGTGTGACAATAAAGCCCTAGTCACCTTGAGATGGGGACGAGGCAGGAAGATGTCCCCAATTAAAGCTTTATTCCCCTGAATGGGGGGAGCGGTTCGTTGTTCAGTGCGCCTGAAACGGCGTGACATTTGTATTGCAGCTGGAGGAGGAGGCTGCGGGGGACTCCTTCGACATTCAGATCTCGGTCTCTGATCCAGAGAAAGTCGGTAAGCCTCTGCGTGCCGCCCTGGTCCGCGCTGTGTCCCCCGTGTGTCTTATGATGTAAACAGTGGTGTCCTCTGACCCTGTCCTTTGTGGGAACAGGCCGCAATGGGAGGGCGGCTCAGTGCTGGGAAGCATGAGGTAACGGCGATGTTGTGCAGAGTGCGGATGGCGTGTGTGTGTGTGTNTATGTGTATATATATATGTATGTGTATATATATATGTATGTGTATATATATATATGTATGTATATATATATATATGTATGTGTATATATATATATATATATATGTATATGTATATATATATATATATGTGTATATATATAAATAAAATAAAATATATGTAATATTATAACATAAAGATTTGCAGTGCCTCTTTGAGAAGTACTGGGCCTTTACACTTCCAGGGCTGGGGGTCCAAACCCCTCCCGTGGTTCTGCAGTGTGACATGCAGTGTTAATCAGTGTGTTTGAAATGCCCAGTGTGCAGTTGTTTGTGTAAGTGTGTGCTGTGCATTGTACTCTTACTGGGAGAAGCTGCAGGTTCACTGGGATCCTGTACAGCAGTGTTCCTCAACCCAGTCCGCGAGGACTCGCAGACAGTCCACGTTTTAGCCATGTCCGAGCTCACAGAATAACTGAACCAAACAATCAAGCCTGCAGAATTCCTGGTGTAAGTGTGTTTGGAGGTGCGTGGGAGCAGTGATGTGGACTGTCTGGTGGGGATCCCTGAGGACTGGGTTTAGAAACACCTCTGTACTGGGTCAGCGCAGATGAAATATGGATGGATCAGGTTGGTCCTTGTTAGCTATCATCATCATCATCATCATCATCACATTTTTGTGAATTATTTAGTAGAAGAAAAAAAATATTTTGCCAAGAGCTGCTTTTCAATGAATGCTGTATAGTCCTACTGTCAGACTGGGCAGGGGATTCTGCCTGCTGACAAGCTCTTTACTTTTATAGCATGTTTATGATGTTTGTTTAACCATCTAGATGTGTTAGAAATAGCAGCAGTAGAAACACTTCTATAAAGTCCCCTCTAACCCAATCTGGAGAGTGATTTCTCGCAAATAAAGAGACACGATTTTTGCTGATTTCAGCAAAGAGCCAGGTGTTCGAGGCGCACAGATCCTCTTCTTGGTAGCTAAGCGATACCGTCGCGTAGATTTCGTCCGAATCCTGGGTGCGATGGTGGGTGTGACTATTTCCTGCAAGCGCTTGCCGCAATAATGAGTGGGAAACATGCAGTCGTGTCCACCCACCCATCCTGGCCGCGGCTGTGCTGGTGGCGTGTCTCTTCCCTGGCCCACACACTTCCCTGATGTTTACTCAGAAGAGTCCCGCTAAGACAGCAAGTGAAATGTGCAGATTGGCGCAGCGTCACTTTAAAAGGCCTTTGAAACCTGCACAGTGTAACCATGCCCCACCTAGGCTAAGACCAGCACTGACGCAGTGACTTTTATCTCCTCAGGAGATGGTATGAATGCTTATATGGCCTACAAAGTGACCACGAAGGTGAGAGACACTATTATGCCTTACTCTCCTGTCACCTTTCACGTTTTGTGCCCTTCTTTTTGGAAGTGAATGCTTTAAGTGACACGCATCTGGTGTTGCCTTGAACGCAGACGTCCCTGACGGTTTTCAGCAGAAACGACTTCTCCGTGAAGAGGCGCTTCAGCGACTTCCTTGGCTTACACAGCAAACTGGCCTCCAAGTACATGCATATTGGCTACATTGTGCCACCCGCGCCAGAGAAAAGCATTGTGGGTAAGCATCAGAGCATTGTGGGTAATCATCAGTGCATTGTGGGTAAGCATCAGCCGTCTTTTAACATGCCATGATTTTTTTCCCCCTCATCCTCTAGGAAATGTAGGTTACTTCATAATTTGTAATATAATTTTAGTGTACTTCAATTTTCTAGTAATTGAAGGCACGTGTGAGTGTCTTTCAAACTGACAGGAGACTGAGGATTATTACTAACAGCTTTCAGAATTTTTTTTCCCCAGTGTTGTAACATGGGATTTTGTGCTTTTGATTACCGTGGGGAATTACAAGTACTTCAGCCTTCAAGTCAAAAAATCCAGATAATTTTCTTCCTTTCAGTTACTGAAAAACAGTGGTCAGAGTGTGGTGTGTGACGTCTGGTTGATGTTGTAATAAACAGGCATGACAAAAGTCAAAGTGGGAAAGGAGGACTTGTCATCCACGGAATTCGTGGAGAAGCGAAGATCTGCTTTGGAAAGGTATGAACTGGACTTCTGCTTTGTAGAGAAAGCGTTTTATACACGTTAATAATAACCGCTGAGTGTCACTTCAATCCCACGTCACATTCCTCTGATGGGAAGCTTGGTTACAAAATTCTCTTTCTGCTGATGATTCACGGCTCCCAGATTTAGTGCGGAAAGTGACTTAACTCCCTGGGCGCCACCTGGACTCTCCTGGAACTACAATATTTTTAATTTCCCAGTAGACAAACAGTCTATTTCACCCACTGCCTCGCTCTGTGTCTTAGTGATCCAAGATTAATTTTGTATTGTAATTTTTTTTTTATTTTTATTTTTTTTTTTTTTTAAAAAGGTTGTTTCTATGGCGAAGGGATCAGGTTCAGAAGACCTCTGAATTGCTTTTGGATAGTCTGCTTGCCGGATGGCGTAATAAATATCACATGCTTTGGCTGTTAGGAAAATTGGCTCACTCTGTCTCCAGTGCGAATTTCAATAACACCATGTGTTTTAAGGCCCTCTGAACAGCAGTGGTAAATCTAATCTCATGAACATGTTGCCGTTTAATCATTAACGAAGTGATCTTTCCTCTCTTGGAGCTCTCCCATGCTTTTTTGTTTTTTAAATTGTTCATTTTTAATTGCTGTTAAAATAGCTGAAATGAGAAGTTTGTCATGTTCTGCCAGATAGTTAAGGCTGGCTGTTCAGTGAATGAGTATAACCGTGGTATTCGACTGGGCATCGCTGCCACACTTTTTCCTGGGAGAGCCAGTCGGCGTTTGTATGGTTGTTCTTGATGCAGCCTGATGTTTCTTTCCGGATGCCTTCTGGGAGTGTCTGCCCTCAGTGGTTCCCCCTTCCAGTGCTGTGTGGAGACTTCAGTGTAAAGAGCATCGTTGTTCTGGTCTTTTAGGACGGAAAGGTTAAGCAGCGCAGTATTAGGTAAATAATTATCACTGAACCCTCGGACCTCGCTGCTGTCAGTGCCGGGATATGCCGGCGGATCTCTGGAGCCCTGCAGAACCACGCGCCCCCCTCCCCCCAACACTCCCTGACATGCCTGATATTTCGCCCTGCGCCATCCACGTTTTGCTCATTCTGATGAATCAAAGGGAAATTTAAATAAAGTGAGGCCGTGGCATTTTTCTGCCCTTTTTGTAATCGCATTGATTGACGCGAAGGTCAGCCAGTGATGGGCCGGTGCATGTCGGATCCCAGAGAACTGAATCCTGATGGCTGAGTCCATTCGCACACGAGCCGTGGCGACCAGCCCCCAGGCACCGGTGTGCGACCAGCCCCCAGGCACCGGTGTGCGACCAGCCCCCAGGCACCGGTGTGCGACCAGCCCCCAGGCACCGGTGTGCGACCAGCCCCCAGCCCCCAGGCACCGGTGTGCGACCAGCCCCCAGCCCCCAGGCACCGGTGTGCGACCAGCCCCCAGGCACCGGTGTGCCATCGGTGGGAGCAATACTGCTTTTTTTTTTTCTAGGAACAATATTTAGAAAAATGTCATTGTAAATATTGATTCATTTTCAAGGCTCATTGAGTGTGTCTGGCCTCGTTTTCAGTGTCCATGATGAATTATTAATGCTAAATATAATGTCAGCTGGTCAGCTTGGAAGCGTGAGGGAAACAGTAGACTTACTGCGGTGGAGGTTGACTTGGGTGGGCCGAGTTTCACATTTTTTATTGTATCATGTTGATTTTTTTTGTTAGCTTTTTTTTTTTTTTTAAATACAACATGAATGGAATTCCATTTTGTATTGATATCAAAGAAGGCAATAATGGTATCTGATCAGAGTGGGAGGAGTGGGATGGCCTGCTGGGAGTTCCCCAACCCGCCTCCTGACCTGACCTACCTCCTCTCCTCCTCCTCCTCCTCCTAGCCACTGCTCTGAAATGCGACCTGTATGCAACGCATGTTATGAAACTGCCATGATTTAAATTTATTTATTTATTTTTTCTCGCCGCAGGTATCTGATGCGGACGGTGAAGCACCCAGTTCTGCTGCAGGATCCAGACGTCCTTCAGTTTCTGGAGAGCTCTGAGGTGACTCCGTCTATGGTGGTGATGATGTGAAGGGTTTCACTTTCCGCTGGTCTGAACTCATTTGCCGGTTCACGTCATTCACATGTCATGCATAGTATGATGCATGTTTATATATACAGTCAGTGGCCATCGTAATAGGTATACCTAACCAGTATTTTTTCTGCCAGTTCTGCTTCAAGGGTAGACGAGTACATTGTCCAGAGAAGTCATGCTGTACATACGCTGTTGTACCGAGCTGTAATTTTAGCACTTGTGGCCTTCCTGTTACCTCTAACAAGTCTGGTTATTCTCTCCTGACCACTTTCGTTAACAAGGTATGTCCAGCACCATTCCCTATGAACTCTTGACACTGTAGTGCATGAAAATGCCAGGAGGACACCCGATTGTGAGATGCTGGAAGCGACGCAGGCACTGGAGCTCGTGCCACGCTCACAAACGCTTCGATCGCATATCGTAGCCACGCTAATGCTTAGCCAAGCAGTATGTGAACCTTCTGACCCTGTCTGTCTGCTCCAGGCTGTTTGCTTAACGAGGTATTACCTAATCAGCCGGCCACTGAATGTACACAGGCGACTCACTCAAAGCCACAGCCGCAGTGATTTGTAAGAAGTCAGATACAGACACTTTTGACACTTGTGGGTCCTTTTAGTGCTTAATGGCATCATACCATTCAAAGAGTCTGCTGAACTAAAGTATGAATTTTATGGGGGGAGCACGCTTTAACAAACCTGGGGGTGCTGAGTGGCTGTAAAATCCCAGGAAATCCTCCTGGGGTGTCGAATCGTGACCGGAGCGCCACCTTCACCTTTCCACGTCCTGCCGTTATTGCCGGACATCCGGAATGAAGATTCCTGACAGTTTTCGAGTCCCCGTTTTAGGGAAGGGCGAGTTTCCTGCCCCGTTTGTCTATCCGTGTTCCTGTAGAATGACTGTATTAATCCAACTTGCAGTGAAGCTAAGTATCACTTGGGGGGTGGGGGGGGTGGGGGGGTTAACGCTTCAGAGCAATTGAAAGCTATTTTTGCCCGTTTTGTCCCTCTGAGAGCTCTCCTAAGCCAGCGTATTAAATTAGGTCCCACAGCATTGAAATGTATGGTGGCGGAGGAACCCCCCCCGGCCGCGTGCTGCCGGCTCTCCCTCTGGGACAGGGGGTCCGAGACCCAGCCTGTTAACCGGTTTGTTTGCCCTTATTTGTCATTTTGTTCCAGCTGCCGCGTGCAGTTAGCACCCAGGCGCTGAGTGGGGCCGGGATATTGAGAATGGTAAACAGGGCGGCCGACGCTGTCAACAGGATGACGATCAAGATGAATGAGGCAGACGTGGTGAGGGTTCCTTCCTGGCCTGAATAATGAGGCGAATTAATGAGCCTCTCCCACCCGAATGCTTACGTTTCGTTGGCCGGAAGCGTGCCAGAATGGAGCCAGCAGCCAACAGTGCTCTGGCAGTCACTTTCCTGTCACTTAGCTGTCAGGCCGCTGTGCACCTTGTTTAGTTGCTTGCTTTGTTTGTGGGAGAAGGCCTCTGTGGTCGTCTTAGACCTCTGGGTCTTCTCTCAGTTCCTCCCTTCCCATCTCCTGTTTTTCTCGGTTACTAGCATGATCTGTTCGTTGGTGATACCTGTGCGTAAGTCATCACATTTTGACTCGTCTCCGGCCTGCATCTGTGTTTCTGTCCAAGTGGTTTGAGGAGAAGCAGCAGCAGTTTGAGAACCTGGACCAGCAGCTCAGGAAGCTCCATGGCAGTGTGGAGGCTCTGGTCTGCCACAGGAAAGGTGAACTTCTCTGCTTTGCCCCAGTGCTTTGACTTCCTCAGATTCCTGATCTCTTCCGTCTCATGCCAATGGGCTCCCAGTTAGAATGTGTAAATGGGATGAACTTTGTATTTTCACCCATTGGCCCTGAAGTGTCCTTTAGTTGCTGCTCTACGGGTGATATCTGATGGACTACAGAAGATCCATCACTTTAGGGACCTGTAGGTATAGGGGAATATGACCTTCTTTTCCTTGTATCACATCACATCTGTGAACATGTTCAGTAACTCTATGAAGTTATGCAGCGTGTCCTGACGTCTGAGTGACATCTCCCCACCTCCTTCCTTCTAGAACTCTCTGTCAACACAGCATCCTTTGCTAGAAGCGCCGCCATGCTGGGGAACTCTGAGGACCATACGGCGCTGTCCCGGGCGCTGTCCCAGCTCGCCGAGGTGGAGGAGAAGATCGACCAGCTTCACCAGGAGCAGGCCTACGCTGACTTCTACCTGTTCTCCGAGCTACTGGGGGACTACGTGCGGCTCATTACTGCCGTAAAGGTGTGGTATTTGGACCAGCTGCTCACAGCATACAGAGGATAATACCGTGAATTAATGTTGTCAAGCGTCTCATTGAAGCTCGATGGATTGGATGTTGGATGTCAAAGGTCATTACAGACTTATAGAGCGTTGATATGCCCCCAAATGATGATCCTTGAAGATCTTCGGTTCTCAGCTGTGTCACTGCCCACAGGCCGTGTTCGAGAATCGCATGAAGACCTGGTCCAAGTGGCAGGATGCGCAGCTCATGTTGCAGAAGAAGCGGGAGGCTGAGTCCAAGCTGCAGTTCACCAACAAGCCGGACAAGTTGCAACAGGCCAAGGATGAGATCAAGGAGGTGAGAGCAGAGTGCAGGCAGAGCTGGTTCTGGGCGGACATCTGGTCCACCATCCAGCATGGTCTCAGGAGAGAAGGTCCTGTGGGCTTGTGCTGCCCATGTTGCCCTCAAGCCTCATTTTGCATTTCTGGATCTCCAGAATGATTACAGCTCATAGCTTGGTGTGAACTAAGGAAACTCATTGGCCCCTGTGTCTGAGAGCAAAATTATATCCAGGGATGGACATAACTGGCACACAAGTACGTATTCACCTTTAAAAGCGGCACGTGCGCCGATATGACACAAAATTATCCTGCATTTTAACTTTTATATGCTAATTCGTACTTCATTTGCGGTATAGAGGTTAAAATGCACGATAATTTCTTGTCATATCGGCGCAAATGCACATAAAATGCGTACGCATTCACGCTGTTACAACAATCGATTGCCGCACGTATCGCCTTTAAAGATGAATGCGTACTTGCGTACCTGTTATGTCAATCCCTGATTATATCCTTAAGCTGGACCAGCTCTGAACTAACCAGCTCTGTCTCTCTTTTGCATATGTGCCACAGAGGAAAATTCCCATTACTTCTGGAATTTAAACCCCTTAAAAAGTGCACTAGACACATCTGTTCAAATCAGTTAAATTCAGCAGGTTTGCAGAGATGGTGATTGGGCGCCCCCTGGTGGCTGGAAAAAAAACCTTAATATTAAGGAAGGTGGGGACTAATTGGTCTGCCATGAATCTGCCTGTTCTGTGGTTGTCCTGTGAGGTGGGGGGGCATAGTCTTGCACCTTAGCTGCACCATGTGTTCATTCCCACATTGCCTGTAATCCAGTGCTCTTCAGAAGTGCTGTCAGGAGAATGGGTGCAGTAACTGTCCCTGTCTCTCTGCCAGCTCGCTCCCCCACCCCCATCTGTTTTACCGCTCTCATGTCACATGGTACATTTCAGTTTCAGGAAAACGTAATGGCTCCATCTCAAATATTTTCAGTGTTCCCTATATGCTAGTGTTGTATGATTCCTGTCACAGACAGCGAGCGACCAAACACGTGTTCAGACCAATTCGGCTGCTGCCAGACGTGACTGGTCATGTGACTCTGTAACATGGCGAATAAAACAACGTTGTAAAAACTGCTGCCTCCCCATCCTGGCCAAAGCATTTCTGTACAAAACGGCAGCAGGCTCATTTCTTTATTATTATTATTATTATTATTATTATTATTATTATTATTTTGAGTCCTGAGCATTTTCAGCCTTTTTAATTTTTGCATTTTCCCTGTCATGCCTCACGCAGGAGATCGAGGAGGTAGGATTCCTATGACTGCCGTTTCCCCTTGGGGGCCTCCCTCGCCATGCCAAGCTGCCCCGCCTACCCCCCCCCATCCCCCCCCCACCCCCGCTATGTGTCACATGGTCCTGTTCGTCCAAGCGCAGGACCCCCTGAAATTGGATGTCTGTTGATTAAAAAAACAAAACAAAACAAAACAAAAACAAGTATAGACTGTCCTTCACGAACGGACCCATGTGACCTTTCGTTTAACCTAAACGGCGAATCGATCGCTGCTCGCTTTCTTTTGTCTTGCTCCATCTTTTCCAGTTTTCTACACCACTTTTAAAGCATATTCACCCACTTTGCCTTTTGTTGTTGTCCTGCATTAAACACCAGGCCGGAAAACACACCAGTTCCACCATGTCCTTCCTCCTTGTACCATGTGACCCCGGCCTCCCACCAATGGGCAGCCTGCGAGTGCATTCAAAAACCAAAGTAAAAGCCATTTGTGAATTTGCTCAGGAAATGGCATGGTGTCCAATAGGAGAATAACTAATACCAGAACGGAATAACTTCCATGAAGGCTCCGCTCTCCTTCTGTGCTTGGTGGTTTTATGCTGGATTTCTTTATTTATTTATTAATCAATCATACAGGAACGGCGATGATGAGTTGAGTTGTCTGGAGGAGCATTCATATCGTTAACATCAGCCACACATCATCCCCTGTGCCTAAACCATTCCGAACACCACGTCTGTCCATCCTGCTGTGTTGTTGTCAGTGGTGGAGTGCTCTGAGATCTGGCCCTGCGTCTTAGGGGTCATGCTGGCCAGTCGGGCCTCATCTGGTGCTGACGTCCAGCTCTCCTGTTCTTCTGGTCATTTCAGTGGGAGGCCAAGGTGCAGCAGGGGGAGCGGGACTTTGAGCAGATCTCGAAAACCATCCGCAAGGAGGTGGGCAGGTTTGAGGTGAGTGTCCAGCCGTGCCCTCCAGTAGCAGTCGGGATGGTGTTTTGTAACTTAACATAAGCAGTGTGAAGTGATTATGCGTATTAGAATTTCTGACAAAGGTCTTGGGTTATTTTTGGTGAAATTCAACTTCTGATTTCTCAAATTTGTTTGCGTAGCTGATGCTTTTACCAGAGAAGTGTGAGGGAAAGGAATCAGGCTCAGGCAGTGTCCTTGAAATGTGGTTTAAGGGCTTTGGTCAAGGACCCAGCAGTGATAGGATGGCTCAGCCATCCGTGGGATTTGAACCCACAGCCTTCCGGACATGTGTACAGATACCAAACCCACCTAACCGCACACCAGTTCCCATCTTGCCCTGAAACTGCCTTTGCTGTAACACCTCCCAATTCTGTGCTGTTATCTCTCTTCTGAACTTACCGTGTGGCGTTTGCTCTGTCTGCAGAAGCAGAGAGTGAACGATTTCAAGGTGGCCATCATCAAGTACCTGGAGTCACTAGTGCAGACCCAGCAGCAGGTATGGCGAGAGTCCGACTGGGCCGCTTTGTGAATGTGAGGTCCAGGAACGCCCACCCGCACACCTCTGTCTGTCCGCTCACAAGCACACTTCCTTTCATATTGATGACCCTCCTTTCAGTTCCAGCCTGTGGGACATCTCAAAGGGTTTTGTTAGATTCAGTCTCCAGGCTGCCTTGAGACATTTTTGGTGTGGTGGCGTTTTGAATTGTAGTGTTATATATTCAGGTTTACATTATACTAACTTTGCTCATTCAGGTTTACATAATACTAACTTTGCTTTAATGCTCATGCAAAGCATTAAATGGTACCTGGGAATAAGAAAGATTCCCTGTAGAACATGATTTTTACTTCTTATTCCTTGTACTGATTGATTATCCAGGTTGTTAGTGGTTTAAGTCCTACGTGGGGGCTTCTGTGACTTGGGCAGTGAAGCCGTTACTGACTAATGTCGCCATTCCCCCCTCGTGTTTCCACAGCTGATAAAATACTGGGAGGCTTTCTTACCGGAAGCCAAGGCTATCGCGTGAGCAGACTGTCAGCCGGCCGTGCTGACGGCACTGGTGAATGATCGCACTTCTGTTTACATCATAACCTCACGTTAAAGATGATGCACGGATGAAGCAAATCGAAATCCTCCCAAATAAAACCACTATATATAAATATATAAATATATTTTTAAATAGTTTGTTTCGAGGGTGCTGGTCCTCGCCTGATTCGGATCGGGGTTTGAAGCCTGCAGAGCTCGTCGAATGGCTGACGTCTGGTCTCCTGTTTTGATTTAATTTTTGATTTTTGATGTTTTTTTTAATTTCAGCACTTCGTGCATTTTTTTTAGTCGATTTTGTTTGTTTGTTTGTTTAATAAAGTCTTGTCTGAAGTACTTATCAGAAATTCATTGAATTTTCCCTTTACATTCCTCAGCAGAAACATTTGAATACTTGTAGTGTTAATAAAGGATTTACTTCAAGGGGCAAATTAGGGAGCTTTTTCCCATTTATGTTCTTAGTGGATGGGTTTGTAATGTGATGTTCATTTTCCAAAAGCTGGGTCAGACAGTCCCTGGAGCAATTGAGGGTAAGTGCCTTATTCAGAGGCCCGATGTGACATCACCCTGCGGTCCCTGGGATTTGAACCACTGACCTTCTGATCACACAATCACACACACCACTCACACTGCCTCTTTCATTTAGTAGCTCTTAATATATAATAGTTGTAGGACCTTTGTTTAATTAAACCACTATATATATATATATATAAATATATAAAAAAATCACGAAGGATGAGGTCTATTTCTGCTCATGGGGGTGTTGAGTCACCTGACCCTAGCTGTGCGGACAGCGTCGAGAGCAGGAGCATGTCATCTGACCCGTTCCCTGGCACTCTGTAAAAGGGGAACACGCGTTGATGGATTTACTGCCACAGAAAGGAAAACCCCGGCATCACAGCCAACTATTTTGCATGTTTGCACCACGTAAAACATATTAAAAGGTAACCGGCTACAATTCATGCACTTTTTATGCGCTATTTGTGCATGGTTCCCCAGTCTTTAATCCCCCTTAAGAGGATTTAAAGCTTTTCTGTGATCCCCAAATTACCCTCCCGTCTCTTGGTCAGATTTGCAGGCCATTCCTGGGAGCGTCATAGGCAGCCATCTTTAAGTACAGTTGCGTTCGAGGAGCCCAGGGTACCAGGCGAAGGCCGGAGTATCTCGTGGTGCACAAAACCCGCACCCCTGACAAGCCCTGTCAGCTGTTAGACTCTGCATATACGTCCTGGACTGCTGTCAAAAAGTATAATGGCTGGAGGTGTGTGCCTATTGACGAGCTGTCACAGTTAGGCCGTGCTCGGTGCCCGTTAGAGTGGAGGTTCGGCGCAGAGGATTATGGGAGTCCTGGCCCCTTTTCTGGAAGGACCGGAAGGTAGCCAGGTGCGGACATGGGAATGCAGGTGTTTCTGCTACGGTGCTCCCCGCATAGGGAAACTTCCAAACTGAGAGCTGTCTAAAACGTCAATGAAAAGCGTGATACTGCCAGCAATCGTGGAGTTTAATGCTTTATGGCCTTTGACGCTCTGCATGTGGACTCAATTCATTAGCCACAATTAAGCTTTTGGTTAAACTAATCTCATTTTACCAAAATAGCTATTTATACGTATTCAGCAAACACATCCAAAATGACCTGCATTTCAGAGAGCGGGGTCAGTCAGTCCCTGGAACAAAGGGGATAATTTTACATAACCTCTTAAATAATTGAGCTTGGCTCAAGGGTCCAACAGTGAAATCACTCTGCTAGCAGTGGGATTTTAATCTGGGACCTTCTAAACACAAGCACCACACCCTAACTCATCGAGCCACACATATCGCCTTTCGCATGCCCTCCTCATCTGCCGCACGCTTCTGGGATAGTCTCCTGATTACTGATGACTATGGGATGGGTAAGTGCATGGTTGGGTGGATGATATTTTTTGCCAGTGGATCATCCTCACATTAAATCACTGAAGCGGGGAGCAGGTGTTATGGTAGTTAGGGTCAGAGATGTTTATGCTGAAGGCTTGAGTGCTAGGTGGATCCCTGCTGTTGTACCATTGAGTGAAGTGCATGACCTGATGTGCTCCAGAAGAACATGCAGCTGTAAAATGTCAAAGTTTATGTTCCACACTAATGTATCTGGCCTCGGGTCTGCCAATGACCACACTCCTTATGGCTTGGGATGCTCATGGTTCAGAGCTGAGGTCATATAAGGCTCTTCTCATTTGGCCGGTGCTGGACCACTGAAGGCAGCTGGGAATGTGGGTGTGGTTTGCTGCATCGTGACGGACGACGCCTTCGCATCGACGTGCTGTGTGGCCGCGGCGGCTCTGTGCCAGTGACCGGGAGTCTTCCCATCTACAAGCCTCACAGTCACCTCAGCTGCCATCTGCCATCTGCTGCCTCCCCCAACGCAGACGCTGAGTTTGCCGTAGAGAACATCACAGGTGAACCAAATGTTGCTTGTGTGAGACCGATTCAGCCTGTAGGAGAGCATGAGGAGTGATTTGCCTTCATGAAAAGCATGACGTGGCGGACTTCCCATCCCAGAAGTGCTTAAAAACAAGAACACTTTTAATGTTTTTCACATTTCCAGCCGCAATATAACGGATGAGTGAAGTCCTCCTGTGGACACTATAGATGCGACTCAACAAGAGAATGAAAGAAATGTTCATCGCTAATAATCTGTGACTCAATGTGTGGTTAGATAACCTCTGCTTTGGCTAAATCTCTTCTTTTAAAGTGCAGAGAACGTGGTGTCAGATACTGGTGTGGCCGGTCGCCAGAAGTCTCCGGATTCGTGAGGGAAAAGATTCGTGAGGTGTGAAAAACGTAGTTGCTACATGCATGGAATTTCGCCGATCCACCTGCTTCTGTGGCCACAGAAATGCAAAAATTCTTTCCCTGTTTCCATCCGCTGCAGTATTGCACTACAGGGTATATACCTGAGTAAACAACAAAAAGGCGAATGTGTTGGCGGAGGTGCTAGGAAAAAAACAAAGGGACTGAAAAAAGATAAAACTGTCGTCTAGGTAACATCAGTGCACTTTATTTATCATATCTCCAAATAACAAGGTTGTGCGTTGTGTTATGGTCAACGGCGCGTGACCCCGTTTGATCAAGCCCAGCCGAGCCCACAGATAAGGCGGCCGATATAACGGAGTGCAATGAGAAGAGTGTACTGTAATTATTTGTGTTCTGTCAGGGAGACGGCCTATGGACCCTGAGATTCAAATCTGGGGGCTGCGCCCGCAGCCATGCACTCACCCTTGCCAATGCGAGACAAATATCAGCACCGGTCCTGCGCCACGGCGGAAATTGCATCAGTTTGTCATGCGCGCCGCTTGCCAGCTCCCCAAAATATCATTTGCTTGCAAATATTGCCCCCCCCCCCCCCCCGCCTTAGCCCAGATCTCCCCGGTCTCTCTGCTGCTGGGGACATTTGTCTTGCCTGCACCTCTATCAGTGGGCAGCAATTTACCATTTTGCTAATTAATAGCGAGAATAAATGACACTCTAAATTGGTGTTATGATGCAGTTAGCCCATTGAATGCTGATCTAAAGTGGTGCTTTTTCAAAATAACTTGCTCCTCTATGGTATTTCTGTAGCTGCGGCCGTGCATTAAATAAGCAGTAATCGGAGGGATGGACTGATCAGTCAATCAATATACTCACATGTGACTGTGTAATATAAGTTTGAGGGAGGGGAAAAAATCTTCTGGGGGACCTGGGGCATCTAGCTTATTTCACGGGCTACATCTAGACAGCCATAAGGAAATATGGAGAGGAAACAGCTACTGTTTTTATATACGAACTCACAACACATTAATTCACAACATTATAAATAAATGCAATATTTCGCATCTGTGTTTCAGTCACAATCAAATACTGCCATGTCATCCATCAGATGCACCAGGAAAATGTATTGAAATGTGAATAGTTGTTTTACTGTGTTTCAACTTTATCTTTAGGTGAAGGCAGAAAAGTCAAAAATAAACTCAGTACCAGTGACTGTGGTTTGAATCTGGCCATTGGTTAAGCATCGTCTGTGAGCATATTATTGTATTATTGCATAATTACCAATAACTGTGTAACTGTCAAGCGACTTGTGTGGCCCAGTGAGATACGAGTTCAAGATTTAGCCTGTTTTTCTTTGTGTCCCAAACGATAAAGTCCATAGGAATCCGGAACCAGAAATGTATTAATCTACCTTCTTATCCGTTGGGTGTGAACTCACCAAGAGGGTCTTCTACACCCAACCCTCTGTTTCACAATAACATAGAGGTATTACCTCTAATATCGTGTACATCTCAGAACTCTTCTGCCATGAGTATTAAGCCTAATTGGCCCACTTCTCATTGGGCAGGGTCACATGACATGTGATAACTTGCACTGTATTCATATGAACTAATGCCTCACCTGGCTAATAGGAGTCAGCTTAACTCTGCACTTATAAACAGTAATTTGATCTCTTCAGAGATCCTCAGCCAGGATTATATTGCAGTGTGCTCCATGCTTTGCCAGCTGAGACAGCAACTATGTCACGTATTTTAAAGGTACGGCAGTGGTGCCTTGCCGAGGACCTACAGGTGCCAACTGGACTCTTCAGCCATTCAGACTCATGCCTGGCTGTAACCTGACATCCACAGTCAGCTGTGTGTGCTTCACTAGAGCCAGGTTACACCTGGAAACCTTCTTCATTTCTTGCAGTTACTCAGGTGTGAGTCGATTGTTTGCAGTATAGTTATTACAATCACTGAAGTGTTGTGTAGTTACTACTCTATAACTAAAGGAATGTTTATTACTCTCACTGAGGTGTTGTTTATTTACCACTCTCAGGTATGATTCAGTTACTACTCTAATTCAGGGGATGTCAATTTATTACTATCACTGAGATGTTGATTATTTATTACTCTCACTCAGGTGTTGTTTATTTACTACTGTCACTCAGGTGTGATTCAGTTACTACTCTTACTGCGGTGTTGTTTATTTACTACTCTTGCTGCAATGTGAATCATTTTTTGCTCTCTCTCTGGTGTTGTTAGTTTACTACTGTCACTCAGGTGTTATTTATTTATTACTCTCACTCATTTGTGACTCGGTTATTACTCTAACTCGGGTGATGTTTATTTATTATTATCACTGAGATGTTGGTTATTTATTACTCTCACTCAGGGGTTGCTTATTTACTACTCTCGCTCAGGTGAGATTCAGTTATTAATCTAATTGAGGTGTTGATTATTTACTACTCTCGCTCAGGTGAGATTCAGTTATTACTCTCACTCATGGGTTGCTTATTTACTTCTCTCACTCGTTGTTGTTTATTTGTTACTCTCTTTCAGGTGTTTTTCAGTCATTTCCCTCA